CCGCCCGCAGCGCCTGGCTCTTGAAGTGCTGGTCGCTGAAGGAGTCCAGGTCCACGATGTCTTCACTCACCTCCCGCAGCTTGGGGTTTAACCTCACAATGCTGGGCCGACGCGGCTCAGGAGGGCCCGGTCGCCCTGGAGCTCTCATCTCACCCTCCACCTCCTTTTCCTCCTCTTCCTCCCTCTCCTCTCGTGGGCTCTGGGTGCCCAGCCTGACATCTGCCTCCTCCCGGGCCACGGGGACGGGGTCAGCCTCGGCATAGTCCAGGTAGATATTGGCCGGGGAGAAGTGTGCCTTGAGGAAGGTCCCAGGCGTGCAGCCCCCGCTCCTCCTTATGGCACTGGGGACACATGTCCGGGGGAGGCCACTGCAGCTTGGGGAACTTGGGGTCCTCTGTGTCACCTCCTGCAGGGACCGGAGCCAAAGAGCGGGTTAGAGGGGATGTGCAGTACAGCCTTCTGCCTGTACTGGTATAAACACCCCAGAGCATCCAGCAGCTGGGAACGGGGGCATTTGGAGGAGCCGTCTCAGGAGGAGGGGTCCTCTGAGGGCACGTGGCAGCTTTGGGAAGCTTCCTGCGGGCAGTATGTCCCAGCCACATCTCCGGGGAGGCCTGATAATGTGCAGCCAGCTGCTATCCCCTGTGACAGGGGACAACAACAAGGGGATGTCCCCACTGCTTCATGCTTACGCAGCCATTTCCCAGTTCTGTCCAGGAGGAGGGATGCTCCTCCACCACCTCACCTCCCCCTTTCCCTCGGGAAGCTGTGCCAGCCCCCTCCCCGCGGCCCTCCTTACCCGCCAGGCGAGCATTGACCTCGTTGTGATGGGACCAGAGCCAGAGGACGGCTTCATCCCGGCCCGACACCTGGTCCATAGACTTGGCTGCCATGGCCCATTTCCCAGTTCTGTCCAGGAGGAGGGATGCTCCTCCACCACCTCACCTCCCCCTTTCCCTCGGGAAGCTGTGCCAGCCCCCTCCCCGCGGCCCTCCTTACCCGCCAGGCGAGCATTGACCTCGTTGTGATGGGACCAGAGCCAGAGGACGGCTTCATCCCGGCCCGACACCTGGTCCATAGACTTGGCTGCCATGGCCTCAAAGTGCTCAGCACACTTTTCACACTCCTGGCAGCCGAAGAAGTGCCGGACGTAGCAGCGCATGGCGCTCAGCACCTCCAGCGGCAGCTCTGGGGGGAGGCACAGGACAGGGGTAGACGGGTCAGTCCGGACCCTGCGGTGCCACCACAGCTGAGGTGGCAGCTCTGCACCCTGACGCTGCAGCACTTGTACTGCCCACAGACCTGCCTTGGGGAATGACAAACCTGTGCCCACATGCAGCATCCCTGCTTGCCACAACCTGTCCGGATACCCTTTCCTCACAACCCAAGTCCCCCCCCGGCACACCAATACCTTTGTCGGGGGCGCTCTTGGCAGCCTGGACGGTCCGCAGA